TTTGGAGGAAAATATAGATATGAGGTGTTAAGGTATTTAGGTTGCATTCTGTCTGACCCTTAAAAATCTGACCCTTAAAATATCACGTGATTCCATGCACAAATGCCAGATCTAAGACACTTTAAAAAAGGGCACCATTTTAGGTAAGAGCAATTTATACTCAAGGAGAGGGCAAACTATACTCTGAGAGCAATATATACTGGGGTGAGAGCAATCTATACTCAGGGGAGGGCATTCTATACTACAGGTGAGGGCATACTATACTCTGAGGGCAATAAATACTTGGGTGCTACAGCGGTCTGTACTCCGTGAGTGCATTGTCTACCCAAATGTGAGGGCATTTAAGTCAGGATTCTAACCCTCACTTCTCACTCCTAACCCTAACCCTAACCCCAAACCCAAGAAATACAACCAATTTGCGATTTGTAAAACGTTTTTATTGCCATTACAAATTCCCACATTTTATCATGGCCCCTTGTTTGAGTCCTTCTAGAAATTGTTCGTGACACTTAGGAACTGTTTCCTCACCATGCACATTCACTAATTGATGAAAAAACCGTTCCTGTGCGGGGGTTAAAGGCAAACCCTGCTGTTTTCTTTTACGGCAATACGAGGCCAAACTGTAGACTTTCTCTGGCCTGTTTCAAAAAGAGTTTATGATTTGTTTTAAATTTTCTCATAAAATAAGAAAACTAAATTTCTTAAACTGAGAGATTTGGAGCAATCTCGAATTGAAGGCTGGTTTCCATATGATCACTACAACTGCCACGATCGCTGAACTTGTTCTCAGTGATCGTAGCGATCATATTGAAACCAGCCTTTAGCGTGGTATATACACACACCACGGTAAAAGGCATTTCCCACATTAACAAAGCCATGGTAAATTTTAACTAGGATTTAGTTTGCCGCATCAACATGTGGTTACACATAAATTAATTCCCAAGTTGATTTAGCTGCTTTTATGGCCTCATTTGCTCTATTGCAGTAATAATCGCCGTCAATGATTATAGTATTTCATAGTATGTTGAAAATTTACATAGAGTTTAGCTGAAATTTCAACTGGTATGTTGGTGTTAGCCTTGATGATTCAACGATGGTAGTTAGCAGTTTGATTACATGCCAGAAATAGAACAAATTTTTTTTTGTAAGTATTGTTCCCAAATCAGTCTAGCCCAACAAAGTAGTTCAATCAGTGTGAAAGAAACCCGTTTATTTAACACAGGAAACTTACCTTGGGAAACGTCGGTCACACTATTAAGTGCCATTGTCTGAGAAAACCGGGCAGAGGCCACGGATCGAGGTCAACCGATTCCTTTCATCTTTCGGCTGTTTTCAACCTTCATTGAGACAGGATGAATGGCAGTATTCTTAAACTTCATCAGCTTTTAGTTTCTGAGATCAGACCACCCCCCCTAAAAACCAGCCGACAGCAACTGAAAATACGTGTAATTTAGATGCTTAACTTCGGCAACGCGTAAAATTTTTTCTCGCGCTGCAAATACCTCCAACTTCAGGACACTATCATTTCGATAGACCTGCTATGATTCTAGGTCATCAACGGCCACTTCCAACCATTTATCAATGTCTCAAAGGCAAAATAATTTGCACATAGAAAAATTTTGAAATATTATTTGCTTGATGAACCACTTTTTCAAAAATCGTTTTCTCACAAAGGCGGCAGTTTATGAGGAAATGAAATACTTCTTTGTACTCATTATTACCCCTACTATGCATGTAAAAAAACAGAAGTTTGGGACCTGGTAAATTACAAACGTTGTTAACGAGAGTTAAAAGTCCATTTTATCGCCAATATCGAGCGAAAGGTCATGTCACAGAAAGTTTGTCACGCATTCTAAATTGATCGAGACTTAAATAAATCTTACTGAGAAATTCGGTACATTACAAAATACAGAATTCAGCTTCTTATTAAAAAAGAAAGTTTATAAAATAAGGCTATCCGTCAAACATCAGCATGCTTTCTTTGAAAACTGTTTCCGTTTTGTTTACATTTGCGCGATGGCACAACGCCAGTTTTACAGTCCGCAGATTCTTCGGGAAAAAATAATAAAAAGTAAAAAACGGAATTTTCGATATAAACTTGGCTATTAGAATGACGGCTGAATTCAACTGACAAAAACTTTGATATGTTAATTTTTATGGGGCTCTCTTTTAGAGAAACTTGAATAAGTTTTATTTACTTTTTTGGATTTCACCTGTCAGTCATCCTAATTACAAAATTTTCACACACGCTTCGGAAGATATTCATTACTTTCTGTCGATGTTAAAAAACGATAGCATCTTCAAAATGAGTTGCTCCTTTTTCTCCGAAGATTCACATTGTGGACCTGCACCGGGAAAAGAGGATATTACTATCGTTCCAGTAAAGCCGTGTGCGAATAATATATTTGACCATCTGTCCGCACTCGGTGTAAGTGGAAATACGCAAAGTGGAAATACGCAAATTGGCGAAGCTGAAGTCCTTTTTAACCGTGGCGGTTTTATCGCTCCCAGCCAAAAACAGGTAGACGATTTGTTTGTGTGCCCACGGCATAGATATCTCTTGACCTATGGATGGCCGGGTAGAAAGCGATTGACATGTTTTCATCCTGATCATCTGGGAAAGCGCACGAAGCAGAATAATGCTCGACGCGACAAACTGGAAATGTCGAGAAGCATATATTTCTTGGAAAACCATTCAGTTCCACCTGGAGCAGGTATGATAAACATTAGTACATGCATTGATAGAACACTTCTTGCCGGAGAACATCATCAGTGACTTACAGTTATCATAACTGAGCTTGGGTAGCCTGTGATTCTACAGAAAGGATCTTATTTTTTTGGTATCTTGAGTAGAAACCCTAGTTTATTTCCATCACGACTGTGTAAAGAGTGAGAAAGGAGTGAATGTTCCTTATTTTTCCACCCTAGCATTTTTTGTGAGAGAAAACAAAATCAGGACACGTTATTTATTTATCTATTAATTTATTTTGCCTTGGCCTCGTTAGTTATATGTATAAAGTGCAGAAAAAGACACTACCAGATACGACAAGCAAAGCAACTTGAGACAACTGTAGTGGTAAGTTCATACTACCCTGATTAGCAATTTTACATTACAGTTAAATTTGAAAAGCGAATGACACATATAACTAAAACACATAAATAAAACGCATAGTGGTTACCGTGTGGCGCTAAATTTTTCTCGTGGATGCTAAATTTTGCGGGGGTGCTTTGCGGGGACTCGTTTCGATTTATTTTCAACACCACAGTTCTCAAGGGGTATTAGACAACAGCCACATAGCGCGAATGTGTTCCGCGTGTATGACCCACGCTCAGAGGCACGCGTCCTTCACGAATTGACGCAGAACAAAATGGCGGAAGACGAGGAGATCGATATTTGCTATTCGTTTTGTCGACGAAAACGACTGCAGAGAGATTTCTGCTAAAGCTGTGCCAGGGAAACGGAAATTAAAAAAGAATCGCCCTTCCCCTCTTGTATAGAGCTAACAGTACAGCAAGGAAATCCTTAACACACTGAATATTCTCTCAGGATCATTTATAATTTACTGTTTGAAGAGAGCAATTTCTGGTTTGATATTTATTCTTTTATTAGTCTTTTATTATTCAACAAAAATAACAATTGGTACAAACGACCGGTTTCAATAGACCAGCGAAATTTCTCATTTCATTAAAGCACTGAGGTTACGACAACTTAGAGTTAAACTGATTTCAGGGTTGTCAAAGAGTCCAGCGATTCCTTTTCCCCAGGTGAGCACCGACTCATTTTGCGTCAATATTCAGGAATGCTCTCTATCCCTTTACGCTTTCATTGCCTTTCGCCCGACATGTTTTGCACGGCGTTTAGTCATGCGAAACCTCCACGAAACATCCACGCTACGCGCGAGGTAACTTTATCCCGATTCTAAAAATAACTCGAGACGAATTACCTATGGAATAGGGTATGTATGGGGATGCCTTCTCTGTCCCCTTTATCCTCTCTTGTTAACAGCTATTTCGAGAAAGGTTGTCGGAAAAAATGTGCACACGATAATCCTGAAAGGTATGGGATATTATCAATACACTGATCCTGACACTGTAGCTGTCGAACCTACTTTTGTTGCTTTCCTTTAGCACTCGCAAACATACGTCCATGGCCTCTCTCGTGCCATTCTTTCAAAACTTCTTTAAAGAACAGTTAACTCAAAACCACCCACAACTATTCGTTTCGGGATTGTCGCGTGCACTTTTTCCGACAACCTTTCTCGAAATAACTGTATACTCTTAGTAAGTTGGCGAAAACAATTTTGTGTTAATTGCCAACGAGCAGCCTCGCGAAGGCGCACTGTGAGTACAATGTATAATAATTATTTTTATTATACATTGTACTTGCGTTCTGTCGTTTCATTGTCCAGGTTACTCAGTTATATGCCAGCAGATTACTGGCTACTCTGTAGGTTGGGCGCGCAATGCATGATTTCCAACTAGATAGCGACGTGTGTTTCTGTACGATTGCATGTTTGTCATTTCTTCAAAGCAATGTATAATAAAATAGGTAAAACAATAATTAGATTCGGTTTTTGTGATATCCGAAATAATCAAGGTTTCGGCAAGTGTTATCAACCTCGCCCTTCGGCTCGGTTGATTGATGACACTTTCCTCGACCTTGATTATTCCGGATATATCACAAAAACCGAATCGAATACATGTTTATTATTTTCTCGTGATGTTAGGAAAGCCCTCTTGTCATTCAGGATCAAGAGCCGTCAGTGTTAATGACTTCTACTAATGAGTCCCCCGAGCGACCAAATATCAGCTCTACTTCAGTATATGAAAGTGAAGTTGACATTTCAGCCATGGATTCAGTGATTGAAACGGAGGACGAGGCAGAAACAAGCTTGTGGATTGATGAAAAAGAATTGCAACACGAGAAGAGAGAAACGCTAAAAAATGCCGTTGCAAAGCTTACTGAAGGTCATTACAGCCCTATTGCATCAACACTAAACACTTCATGGGATGATGTGTCAGTTACACAGCAAAAATATTACCAGCGCAAAATGAAGGAGGTTATTCAAGCAGCATTATCTGTTGTTGTTCCTGGGCAAGAAGAGTTCATGTGGAACTGTTTGCGAGAGGAAAGGGAAATTGCAGATGTAAGTGAGGAACCACCAGCGAAAAGAAAACGAATAGACACTGGCCTTGTACAAACGCTTATAACTGGCAAACTAAGCGCCAGATTCTTTCCCTTTTTGTAAATGACTTAAGCAAAACCGAGCTTCAAGAAATGATCCCAGGCCTATCGAAATGGCGGATTGACCAAGCCCGTTGCCATGCCACTGACGTAGGCGAAGGCCAGCCCATTCATGATAAGCCTATTTTTCGCACACGCTTAGACCCTGTGAAGACGGATCATTTCGTTGACTTCATATCAAGACCTTGCTTCTTACAAGATGTTGCATACGGCACCCGAAAACTGAAACTAGACAGTGGTGGACACGCTGTAATACCTGCAGTGATAAGAACCCTAATACCATCAAGGATTATTGCACAATATCAAGCTTACTGTAGAGAAATTGGATTTGATCCGGCAAGCGAACGCACTCTCTTCAGGATTTTAGAAGTCTGCTCCGCTTCCATGCAGAAGTCATTGCATGGCCTCGATTACATTACCACGGACGGCGTGCCAGCATTTGATTCACTTGAAGACATGGTCAGTACTCTCAAAGCTGCTAAAGCCGTAACTTCCAACTGGGAAAAAGAAGCCAAACAGCAACTCTCAGATGCAAAGAGATACCTTAAAGCAAGAGAGATACCTCAAAGCTGCTAAAGCCGTAACTTCCAACTGGGAAAAAGAAGCAAAACAGCAACTCTCAGATGCAAAGAGATACCTTAAAGCCGACTTCAGGTTGCATGTGAGCAAGGATGAGAGGTGTGCAGACCATTGTACAATGTATGCACTGAGTGACCCCAATGATCCTCCATTTAAGGGCACATGTAGTCATGTTCACGACATTCGCTGTGACGCCTGTCATGGTATTGAAACGGTCATTAAACAGATTGGCACTGAAATAGAGGGTGCATTCAACGAAGATGGTGATTTTTTAACTAAACGAAAGCTTCAGTTTGAGCACGGTAAAGCACAAGAAGCCATATGCGCATGGAAAGCGCATAGTCTATGTGCTGTTAACCAAGATCTTGCCAAACAAGATGTGTTGAGTGCGCTTGACGGTGGTAGCTGCCTTATCGTCATGGACTGGGCCATGAAATTTTTACCTCTGTACTACAGAGAACAAATGAGGGATTTCTTTGGAAAGAGAGGTAAGAGCTGGCACGTAAGCTGTGTAATTGAGAAAGAGGACGACAGCTATTCAGTGCAGTGTTTTTCTCATTTATTTGAAGAATGCAAACAAGACTGGTTTGCTGTCGCATCCATCGTGGAGAATCTTTTAGAGATTCTTAAGAGAGAGAAGCCATTCATGTCAGAAGTGTTTCTTCGCTCAGACAATGGCGCATGCTATCACAACGCAGCCTTGTTGCTTGCTCTTCCAGCCATTGGTTCAAGAACTGGGATACGTATCCGTAGATACGATTTTTCAGAACCACAAGCAGGGAAAGACATATGTGACAGAAAAATAGCTCCGATGAAAGCCCACATTAGACGATGTGGCAACTGCTGCAAAAATGAAGGAAGCTCTTGAGTCTCATGGAGGTGTCAGAGGGAGTAGAGTAGCTGTTGCCGCTGTTAACTTAGCTAATGAAACTGGTGGGACAAACAAAATCAAAGGAATTAGTAAGCTCAACAATTTTGAGTTTACAGAAGAGGGAATTCGCAGTTGGAGTGCATACCAAATTGGTCCCGGAAAACTGGTGTCGTGTGAAGGAATGAAACCACAGGGGAAGACTGGATTGAAGTTGTTACAACCTTTTGGGGAAATTCCCTTGGCCCAAGGCATTTTCAACACGAGGCCCACTTATAAAGAGCGATCTGCCAAAAATCAGGTCTTTTTCTGCGAGACACCAGGCTGCGTGGTAACGTTAGAAAACGAAAACGAAGCACAAAATCATATGGACACTGGAGTTCATAAGCTTGTTTTGGAACGCGAAACACTTTACGACAGTGTGCGAAGAAAATGGGCGCAGCATGTTACCGAAATAGCTTCCCGGACGACTCTGAGCGTGCCAACTACATCAACCCGAGCGCTTGGTACAAGCAGTGGAAATGAAGCTCCCACTTTGCAGGGTTGGGCACTAAAAGGTCAAAAAACTGCTACTAAGACCTCCGAGAACGTTAAAAGTTTTTTGATTGCAAAATTCAAGGAGGGCCTCAGTGGCCAGAAGGCAAATCCGTCAGAAGTCGCAAAGGAGATGCAGGAAGCTAAGGATTCGAATGGTTCACCTGTATTTTTGCCAGAGGACTGGAAAACTGCACGGCAAATAAGCAGCTTTTTTTTTACGACTGTCAGCATTAAAGAAAAGCAGTCATGTCGCTGCAGTAACATTACGTGATGAAGAAAATGTCGATGAAGAGGATCTTAGGAGCTGGGAAGGTCGCTTAGAAGCAGAGAGTATACGGAAGGAAGTGTACAGTGCAGTGGATCTTCAACACCCAGTTTATTCTGAAGGCCACAATATTTGATTGATGGCAAAAGAGAGAAAGCTTAAAAATCTCAAAGTTGTAGAACTAAAGAACATCTGTACAAATCTTTCTTTGACGACCACTGGAAATCAGCAAAGAAAAGTTACCTTCATAAACGCCATTGAGGAGTTAGTTAATTCTTGTTCATGTAGCAATTTGTTGTAAGACATCGACTGTATCGTGGTCGATTAACTTGAAACAAAAACAGTCGTATGAGAGAAGCCTAGATGACTCAGTCAGAGACCAGTTCAGTGGTGACGCAATTTTTTACGATTGCTATTACAGCATTTTGACATTGTATATAGTAGTTAAGAGTGTGTATTAAGGACACCTTAACAATCGTGACAAATGTATGTAAATGTATGTAAATTTATTTATTTACATACGCCCCTAATTAGCCTAAATATTCAGTAGAGTGATTTTCGTATAACCTTGAAATGAAAACAACAAAGGAACAGAAATAAAGCGGTTTGATTTGTTTATCGAACGGATATACAAACGCACGTGACTTTTGTTAAGCGAATGCTCGGGTAAAAAATTTATGCCTGGGAACTTTTAGAAATCAATGGGATACTTTGCTTTGATGTCATACTGCAACAAGATTGGCCAATCAAACAATGCTTTCTTCCCTTTTATTGGGTTTTCTTTGGCGGGAAAACGAATAGTCCATATTTTGATCTTTTCATCCATTGGCTTATAAAACAAATAACGAACACTTACTGAAACGATTTTCAAGGTCATACGTAAATCGCTCTACTGAATATTTAGGCTAATTAGGGCCGTATGGTTAACCAAGACCTTCTAACCCGTTTTTTATAACCTTTTGACTTAAATGAGGGTAAGGTATGGCTTGTTATTAGAAGCGGGCACGACTGTTTTCCATTTTTTTTTACTGACCATGGATGAAGGCAAAACTGTGGATAACGAAATCACTAGGCAAATAGCGTGGCACAGTCTGCCCGCTAGACCCCTACTTTCACCTGCTAGCTAGGTCAATCCAACTCACATGAAAATTACAACAAGGAAGGTGTTTTTCAACTCTGGAGCCCTGTTAAAACGCCGCGGTTTGCTAAGGCTTGTTTAATTGGTTGCAAATAAACCAATCACCATCTGTGGGATTGAGCGGTGTGAACTTGGATATCCCTAGCTAGCTTATCCCGCTAATCGATTTTTATGTTTTAGCTCAAAACCATTAAATTCGTAACCTACGTGCGTCAAAGTCTCCGATGATCTCCTCATGCGCCTGCTTTTCTGGGAAAAAGTTTTTTATTTATTATCCAAGTGTTCGGCGGCGAAAAAATTGTGGATTTCTTTACAACAATCATTAGTTTTTCATTCTGAGTCCCCCTCTCTATCAATGGTTTCCATGTGGGAAATTGGCTTGCCTTGCTCTTCCAGGTATCTCGGCCATGGCATGTCTTAATTTGGTCATGGTTATGTTTTTGCGAAATAGTTTTTTATTCTCAGCACTTATCCTTCGTTTCAGTAGCTGATAAGAATAAGTAAATGAAAAAGGGCTTTTATACGACGGAACATGTACCGAGTTCATGGCGGTCTTTTTGTTCAATTTCAAGAATTATGCAATTTGATACCGGCATCATTCACTTCTGCTAGAAACGGGTTCCACAATTCGCTCGCATTATGCGTTTATTGTTGTTGTTGTTGTTATTTTTTTAATTCCTTTTTGTATGAATAGAGATAAATGCTCAACGTTTTTACTTTTCTGACCAATAAACAATCGAGGAGTTAACATTTCTTTGAGTAATGTTAATTACGTGCGATCAAACAGTGCGTGACAAACTGGCCGTGACGTGACATATCGCCCGCATCGGTGATAAAGTGGACCTCAAACTATCGCTGACAGCGCCTCTAATTTACCAGGTCCCAAACTTCGTTTTTTTTACATGTATAGTTAGGGTAATAATGAGTACAAAGAAGTATTTCATTTCCTCACAAACTGCCGCCTTTTTGAGAAAACGATTTTTGAAAAAGTGGTTCATCAAGCAAATAATATTTCAAAATTTTTCTATGTGCAAATTATTTTGCCTTTGAGACATTGATAAATGGTTGGAAGTGGCCGTTGATGATCTAGAATCATAGCAGGTCTATCAAAATAATAGTACCCTGAAGTTGAAGGTATTTGCAACGCGAGAAAAAATTTTATGCGTTGCCGAAGTTAAGCATCTAAATTACACGTATTTTCAGTTGCTGTCGGCTGGTTTTTAGGGGGGGTGGTCTGATCTCAGAAACTAAAAGCTGATGAAGTTTAAGAATACTGCTATTCATCCTGTCTCAATGAAGGTTGAAAACAGCCGAAAGATGAAAGGAATCGGTTGACCTCAATCCGTGGCCTCTGCCTGGTTTTCTCAGACAATGGCACTTAAATACAGTTTCCCATGGTAAAAGGGTAATTTCCCATGGAAAAAGTGCCCTGTGTAAGCGCACCTAATACATATATTCAAGATTTCTAGGTTTCTGGTATACTGCAAAGTGATGTTTCAGGATATTTATAACCCATATTTTAATTTCAATGTTTCTAGGTTTCTGGTACACTGCAAGGTGACACTGCATTTCTGTATTTACTGGAGATACAACTCACCAGGAATGCAGTTGTCATTTTAGACACTGTGGCAACAAAGTTTTTTTTGCGTGACCTTAACTTGCAGACAAGATCTCTGTGGGTAAGTCTTTATTGGAATCTAGTATCCTTATATTTTTAAAAACTCTTTATAGATTCTTTTCACCTTCATGCAACAAAATAATACATTGGAAACTGTCCAGAGCAGGAAGCCAAGAAAATGAAATGTTATAAACAATTTGTCCAAGTCTGAGGTCTTTGTGGCCCACAGTTTCTGAGTTACTTGTCGAAACGTTTCATGCACCTTTTGTAGAGCTTTGTATGGAGACGCCATATTGATGTACTGTTTTGGTGCACCAATACGGCTGCCAGAAATCCGCAAAAACATCTGGAGTTCACTTTTTCTATAAAAGCTCTTTCTTTTCACTGGGAAAGTAGCATATGTGCACATAAACATATACTTGAAATGGTTATACTGCTAAAAATCAAGAGGAGCTCACTTTTTTCATCAAGACAGCATTCCTAATTTAGTGTCACACACTGTGAAAACTTAGAAGTTCAAATTGTTGTATTTTGGAAATGAAACATGCTATGGGACTGGAAACTTGTTCAAACGCGTGGTGAAGCTTAATATATAGATTTAGCCAGGGCTAAAAGCGAAGCTCCCATTAATAAATTTATATTTTAAATCAAACAATAAACTTGTAATCCACAAATCAGTTAACTTAAGGGCACATTCATGTGACTTTTGAGGGAAAGGATAAGTTATTTTAGAGTGAAACATCTTACATCGAGTTGATAGCCTAAATATATGTACACCCAAAAAATAGCAAACATCTTCTATCACATTCAAGAGCCATAATGGCTCTTGATCACAGTAGATTAGGCCTCGAAAACAAATTCTTGGAAAACAAATCAGGCCGCATTTTTTTGCGTTCGACAGGTTTACTTTACAAATTCTTGCCAACAAATCTGAGGGTGTGTAAACCAACCTTTTATACTTTTTATACATCACATCTGAGGTGAAATAGTACTTTTTATCATACAGACCTCGGACAGAATACGGCATTTCACAATTTTTCAATGTTCAGGACGATCAATCTTGGGCTTTTCGCGAAACCGTTCAAAAAAGTTCCAAAATCACCCATACGGCCAGCCGGTTCTCATTTTTAGTGCGAGCTGTCAGTGTGGTTGAGTGTTTGAATGAACTTTAATGGAGATACGCTTCAACATAATAACGAATTTATTATCATTATTTTTTGTTATTTAATGGTTCCACTTATAACGATGAGTAATCTTATAAAGCGTTTGATACGCGCGACATTTCTAAGTACTCCTCCAAGCGATGTTCATGAACGATGAAAACAAACACCACAGACAAGCGATTAAAATTGCAACAGAGACTACTAACAATCAATAAAAGAAATATAATTCGGTAAAACATTTACAGAGACAACAATTTTCATTCACGAAGACAAGTATTAAAGTGTCTCTAAAAATCCTGAGCCGTTTATTTTGTTTTACTTTCAGCCGGCCTCCCGGTGTTTGTTTTTTTTTCAAAGATGAACTCCTCCAAGCAGGAAAATCACTCAAAGTTTTCTTTCTACAGCCAAATTTATAACTTCTATTTCTATTTGCCGTGAGAAAATATATCTGAAGGCCTTTTAAAGTTCTGTAAGCTTATATCAAACCTGATACTAAATCAGATCATTGACTCAAATCTTAACAAACGTGCAAAAACTTGCCGCATAAACTGTGCTTGACTTCATGAAATTAGATATAACAAAAACAAACATCAAATACAATAATTACTCAGGCTTACCATTCGAGATTCAGTTCCTGAAAGATGTCAAGGAAGGCCATAATTATTTGCTTGAGACTTTTAAACCCTCTTACCCATTGGGCAAGGTGAAAGACGAAAACGATGCCATCTGAAATCGGATTACCCAATTTTGACAAGCGACACATTTCTCAACCAAAAACCCAATAAACAAACCAGCCATGGATAACAGAAGACTCTTAATAGCAGCTGTATTTCATTTTGTACATCCAGTGGAAAAGGACAGTTAAAAACATCACAAGTTGACACAAAACTCTGTCAGCTTTAGCTGTCAAAGTAAACAACTTTCAAGATGCTGCATAAATTTTAGGCATAAACTCACCTGTCAAATTTTGACCAATCACAGTACAAAAATTGGACGTAGAGCGTGACCAACGCGTGACCATGGTAAGAAAAGGCCTTCCCCGCCTTCATTTTTACAAAAGTGGCTGAATTTTCGCGTCCGAGGTCAG